GGATTTGTATGGGGAAAACAACTCTTGCCACCAAGCCATGTTTGCATGGCTTTCCAAATCCTGGCTTGTAAATTTTAAAAATTTCAAACTGTCGTAAAATCTCATAACAGACAATTTGAGTCCTGTAATCGTTACTTTTGCTGCGTCTCTGTTTGGAGAGTGGAACACTCAAATTTGGTTTTATCAACGGAGTTGAAAAAATCCAATCTATCAACCTAAAGCCGATTCTAATTCAAAACTGGGTTTTTTAAGCGCTTGCCATGGCTCAATTCCAGTATCAAATTTATACTTAAAGGAGCTATGGAACTTAATGTTAACGAAGAAATTACGTGTAAAGGACAAAATCACAGCTTCTCGTCCAACAATTATACTTTCCAAGCATTATATCAGGCTTTACAAACAACAACAATAAACTTTGAAGATCTTTTAGGCTAAGACTAAAAAACACAATTGCCATCTTCATCTGTTCCTACTTTTGTATTTGCTGTGTAATGTTTTGAGCGATTATTTTTATGTTTTACTTAATTTGGTGAGCGAGCCTATTGTTTAAATTTGTCGGTGTTCCATAAAAGAGGTGTAGGTCGGAAATACTCATCTTCAAAATATATCATTAGAGAGCTTTAAATTCGAGGACGATAACACTACGCAGGCGCGGATCCGCACCGGTTTCCACCGTTTTACGGAAATCGGTCAGATTTTTCTTAAATAGATATATTTTTAATAAATAAAAAACTTTCCAAGTTGCAAGGCCTTATCCAAGGTGAATGGAACTGGCCAATATCCTATCTGAGTGACTCGGAACCTCGAGAAAGGAGACTTTAGGGAGTTAAAATCTATAACATTTACCGGGGAGCATGCCCCTGGACCCCCAAGAAGCTTGCGTTTTCGGCGCTCGTTTAAGAAATCGGTCAGCATTTATCCTAGATCCGCGCCTGCTACGAGTACGAGAACTGACTTCAAGTTTTTTCGCGTATTCGAAAAAGATAGGCATCCCGGAAAGCTTCATTGTACTTTTCTTCACCAGAAAAGGTAGCATTAATATTGTTATCCTTATTGAAGGAGGTTAAGCCCTCTCCTAATCGAAAAAATGTAAAACTTCTAATATTTGAGTACTTGTTTCCACTACCACGACATTTTCGCAAAAACTCGACGACGACGACTATCACGTTTTCCCTCCAAAACTGATGCTGGTTCATGCGCTAGCAGCGCTTAGCAGTATTGAGAAAATCTTGTGTGGTAGTCGACCTCGTCTTAGATTTTAAGACGACTACGACTCGAGTACGAGATTTTCTTAGAACTAAGTATTGCGCGCGCGTGAACCAACGTCATTTTGGCGGGAAAACGTGGTAACCGTCGTCACTCTACTACGACTCTTAGCGAGATGACGAAGTGGCGGAAACAAGATATCAAATGTTAGAAGTTTGATCATTTTACGATCGGGAGGGGGCGTAACCTCCGTCACTAAAGATAACAGTGCTAACTATATTTTGAGAATATGCGAAAAAACTTTAAGTCAAATCTCGTACTCGTAGTCGTAGTCGTCTTAAAATCTAAAGGTCTCCATTAAGTAACGTGCGACGACGTTGATTAAACCTTCTATCGACTTCAAGATTCATTTGTCACTCACCTGTGCCTTGTGAGTCAGCACAGTTGATGCTATTTTTATCAAAAGTTACTGTTTTAATCATTTTGTTACAATTACCTTGCTCAGTGACGCGTCAAGTCATAATTATTATGTATAAGTTTGAAACAAATGCAATGTTTCACCATTAATATGATCATTTACAGGCCACAAGGATAAAGCAAGACAGAAATATGAACCTATGGCGAATATGCTTTTAACATTCGGGACCAGCTGCGAAGCCGTGACGGACCTTAACCCTTTAAGTTCCAATAGTGACCAACAGCAATTTTCTCCTAACGATATCCATATATTTTCATGAGATGTGGTTATGAGAATTAGTAAAATGATCACCTAAGAGAAAATACTTTGATCTTTTATCAAATTCTCTTAACTAATTCTTAAAGGAGAGGTATAGAGATCAGTTTGGAGAATTTGTATGTGGATATTGGGGCTTAAAGGGTTAAGGGAGCTTAAGCAAAGGCTATTTTTGAGCGACGCTCGTCAACCGGAAGTGGACTTTTTTCATTCTTGAGCGGTGGTTTCGCCCAAATTTTCAGTCAAATCGTCTCTATAAGAGTAAAGAAGCAAGCAATACAAATTTTATATTGTCAAGGCATGTTAACCCTTTAAGCCCCAGTATCCAGATACAAATTCTCCAAACTGATCTCTATATATTTCCTTAAAGAATGAGTTGAGAGAATTTGATAAAAGATCAAAGCATTTTCCCTAAGGTGATCATTTTATTAATTCTCATAACTTATCTCTTGACAATGTATGGATATTGTTTGGAGAAATTTGATCTTGGTCACTATTGGGACTTAAAGGGTTAAGAGGGAAAAGGCCTCACTTCAGGTTGACGTCCGTCGCTCAAAAACGTCTTTACTTAAGCTCTCTATTTTCTGTCGTCCAGGCCACGGAGACGCTGAGTTTCTTTTTTTCTTTCAGAGGATGACGTAAGGATGGGCGCCTGGTTATATTTAACCAAATCAGTTTGTTACGCATCTGAAACGACGATCTTCAGTGGAGGAGGTACGTATTGGGGGAGGGGGGCGGCTGGGGAGGGAGGATTCGTGTGTTATCTAACTTTGAATTTCAAACCCTTTCGTTTAGCTTATTGAGAGTGAAGCAAGGGAGATCCCTGTCCTTCCCAGTGTCGGTATTTAAAAAACAGTATTTGCTGTTTTCTTCGTCACCGTTGAAGTTTCATTTGACAATCGTGTCTCGCCAGTGTCGCCATTATTAGTCTTTCCAGAGTCGCAGATTTAAGGCTTTGTCGCTTGCTGGAATTTGCCATAATAGGGCCTTACCCCTGGGGATTCCTATTTGAAAAGACGGAGATACTTGTCGAAAGTTAGAATTAAACACCCAAAGCATAGTTACTGTAGAGGAGACTGGTTATGAAAAGCGGCAAACATCAGTGATAAAAACAACAGTGCTGCAGTTTATGTTGGAAGCACCCTGAAAGTGCACAATCCTTTGTTTTCTGTTGGCAAATTGCTACGGAATTAATTCATGCAACGTTTTATTGGTCAATACAATCAAAATGATAGGAATTCTTTTGAACGTTGTGCACTTTCAGGTCCACAAAAACATATAACAAAGGAGTCTGACGGGTTTCATAACCATTCCACTCAATTAACTATGCCCAAAGGAAACCCATCAGGGATTGGCTTATGATGGCACAGTTTCGATACTGATTTATTGCTCGTTAAATTCTATTTTAGCTGAGCGAAAATACGGTCTTCAAAATTTCGTTTCTATGAAAAATAGTCCAGTAACCATAAACGAAAGAGTTCTAAAAAGTAGTATTTCCTCTCAAACTTGAGAGTGCAAAAAACCTTGCGGTAAACGGTAAATCACTTACCTTTAGAGCGTGGTTACACTCTACAAACGTGAACCTGAAACTGCAAACCTATCATGTATCAAGTACTTTTACAGATGATGCTCATATATTACCTCAACAAAACAGTCATAAACAGTCATAGAGCACAACAGCTGTTCAAATCGAAGTTAGGCGGTATTAATGGAGCAAAACAAACTAACGTTTCTATCCTATTAAAATGCTCGTGATAGTACATATTATTTTTCATTTGAAAGGGTGTGTTGTAACTTTCCTGATCGTCACAATAGGCCATATCCGAGTTCCAAACACCCTTACTTTCAACACGAGACTAAGTGCAAACCCTTTTTTTGTGCTAATGAATTTCATTTGCATGAAAATGTTAACCCTTCGAACCCTGATATTAAAATTGAGATTCTTATTAACTGTCCCTATACAATAAAATAGAAGTAGTTGGGAGAATTTGTTGAAGTATCAGTTAGACTCATCTTCCCTGATCATGTACTCAATTCTCATGACCACTCTGTTTTCTAAAGCATTGATATTATAACGAGAAATTTCATGCTGATCTCTCTTATGGCTAAAGGGTTAAAATCATTTCCATATCAATGGCTTTGTACTCAGCGGCGTTTTGAAACAGAGGCTTGTGGCAACTCGGAAATGGCCGTTTGGACGTCCGCTTATTTGCAAAACAACTAACCACATATTTGCTAGCTTCCGTTACAGTCTATTAACCTGCCCTAAAGCCACTATTTAACTCTTTGGCAAGACCAGCGATCAGCGAAAAAAAAAACGTATTTTTACGATTTCGTCGTTTTGGACCTGTTTTCCGTCAATTAGCAGGGGAGCGGTTAAATCACTGAGGACGTATTTTCCGGTTCGGTGGAAGTAATTGTAAGGGAGTGTGAAAAATATTTCACGCAAATATTTATCTCACTTTAACTTTATAATAACAATAAATGCTTACTAATAAAAGAATGGTCACCTGCCACATAGCCCCAACAAACACAATTCTTTTCTACTCGCCAAAACGGTTGCAGCTTGGTAGCGCTCTTCAGAAATGGAAAATTCACAAAATGCATTAAAGTAAATGAAGCAGAACAAAGTCATTAAATGATTTCACTTTAACTCAAAATAATATCAGTTAATCGTTATTCCTTTACCAGCAACATTTTTTACCAAAGCTGTTGGTGTATATATTTTGCAGTCTATAATTCGCGCAGCAAGCTTATATTCTCAAAAATTATTTCTCAAATCTCACTTCAGGCCAATCGTGTTTTTTTTAATTTCATACCTGAGTATCTGTAAAAATACGGCAGTTATTAAGTTTTTTCATGCTAGTTTCACGCATCGTTTTCCAAGACATCTTCAATAGAAGGGACCACGTTTACCTCATCAATAAGACCTATCTATCTACCATTAATTTGTCACCACCAATTTGATAATTCCTGCAAATGACCTTCGTTGTAAACCCCTGGCAAATTAAAACTAAAAAGGAAATTAGAAAGCACAAAGTTCTGCTCAAAATCGTTTGTTCTACTTGTCATCCGCCAGATCTTCAATAGATGGCACCACATTAATTTCGTCGATTAGGCCTTCTTTGTAAAAGCCTTCCAGGGCCTTAAAGCGGAAGAAATTTTGGATGCGTTTCAGCGGCTTCACCCCAAGCACTCTTTCCTGTTCTTTCTCGTCCACAGTTTGCCATTTTATCAGACCCCAGAAGCTTGAATGATGTTTTGTGGTGATGATTCTCTCAGGGGCAACTTTAAAATCTAGCTTGTAGAGGCAGTACATGCAGTCTACAAACTTTCCATCTTTGGATTTTCCAAACGCTATCATTCCGTACCTGGCACTAGAATCACTTGACGCGTTGTATTTAAACTCCATTACCTTATATGCCCATTCTTTTGCCCACTCGATTCCGTTCATTTTCTTTCTCATCTCTTCATCAATACCCTCATAAGCGTCCTGAAGATGATCCAAGAAGCTTTGGATACTCTCAATGGCAATACCTTTGGCTTCCATTACCTAATTGATAAAAAAAACCAGGTATTTTGCACACGCTCGACAGGTTAAGGTGTGATGGCTGCGATTTTTCTGGAGTCCATCGCTTAAAAAATATATCTTTCTGAATTGAATTGATTAAAATAAACTACTAATGCCGGAGTTGTTTCGCTGTCAAAGTCCCTTTACGGCAAAAATAAGTTCCTTCTAATTTCCAGCACATATTTCCAGTTGCGTGAGCATAATGTTATCCATAATCACACAATCTTCCAACAAAAAAATTATTTCTATGTTGTTTAACTTTCTCCTTGAGCTAACAATGAGTTCCTTAAAGGGAACCTCCACTTCAACAAAAAGATAACTTTAAATCACAGGAAATAACTGTTACAGTCAAGTCAAT